ATCACCCCGAAGTAAAAGTTCAGACATATAAAGCCCAAAATTATGCAAAAGAATGTTCCAGGGCCACACCCCTTCCGCAGTGGATCACATTATTTACTTAATTTTTAAATGGTGGCTAACAAAGGCTGATGGCCCATCGTCTATTGTGTTTTGACTAACCTTCAGCTTCCCTCCCTGCATAATCAACATCAGCAGAATCAGTAAGATAAATATATTCATCTTGTTTTGTTTTTTTCAGACTTCCAGATACTCTAGCCAGGTTGGATCTAAAAGGAAATGACATACAGGATGTTGGAGAACGAGAGCTAAAGGACTTGAAACAGCTCCAGGTTTTAAATCTACGGAACAACAAGATATCTGCCTTGGATCGCAAAGTCCTGGAAAATTTGCCTCGTCTCAGGTACCTGTATTTGGATGGAAACCCTTGGAATTGCACCTGCGACCTTCTGAGAACCAGAAGAGCGCTGATGGCCAAAGGGACAGATGTCAGAGGAGGACAGTGTGCAGCACCAGCAGAAAGCCAAGGTGAAAGCTGGATGTCTTCCAAAAAGATTCTGCAGCGGTGTGAAGACCACCTCTCTTCAGCTGAACGAGGCAAAGAGGTCAGAAAAAAAATGAAGACTGATGACCTCTCCAGTGAAGGTGTAAACATGGATGATGATTATTATGATTATGAAATAGATTAATCATGTAACTATGATGAGTCTTAGAACTATCTTTCTTAATTCAGCAATGATCTTTGCAGACAAAGAGCCTGCTAGGCTACAATTGACATTTCATCTTTTATTTTATACTACAAGACTTAGTGATTTGGTGCAGGTGAGGATGTAAGGTGTTTTGAAAATTGTAAGATGCCTCTTTTTAAAAAAAAATGCTTTTTGTTTAATATTATATGTGTGTAGAAAATAAGAGTACCAGTACTAGCAGCTAGAAAAGTTTGGCACATTCAAACAAAACGGTGGCAATTAACTGGGTCTGCTACCTCTGCATCGGGCTCAGTCAAGCATGCAAATAGTTCCATGGAAGTCCTGTAAATAAAATCCACACCTACCTCACAAGATGCAACGGCTAGGAATCTGAGTCCCAACCCATTTAAGCTAGCAGTGTTATAATTTCCAGAACAAGGGGCCTGAAGTTGGAAGGTTTTCTATGTGTACTCAGACTGATATAGGTGGTTGTTCAGTACTGTTCACATAGTATTGCCCTTGAGAAATTAAATTTTCAAGAATTATTTGTCCCCTTTAATTGATTTAAACCACTTAGTCTAAAGATGAATTAGTTGAGGCATATCTCCAGGTGTAATCCACCTGTCTATTTTTATAACAAATACAACAAAGAGAACAGGTGAATGGAGCTTGTTTATTGTTCAATAACATTTATTTACTGGCTCTAAGTTTGGTTAGTATCCATGAACCAAAAGTTTGGGACCAAATGTGACTTGACTGTGTCCCTTTAAAGGATCACTGCTTACCCTTTTCTTAGGGAACAGGAACTGCCACTACCAGAAATTAGGCTAAGTTTGACAGAGACAAAATTATTGGGAGACTTTGGTGTGCAATAGACAAACAACCATTTGACCACAATGCAGGACAAGTTGCTGTATGTAAGTATTTAGGGTTATGTATTACTCCTGTCTGCAGAGGTACAGCAATAAAAGGTGCAAAGGAAAACATCCTGTCACCCAGTGTAAGAGATCCAGTATGCTAATGGAAAATAAGAACACGTGACAACAAATTATTTAAACTTAGTAATAGGAGAGAGCTGAAATATCAAAGTATTTAACAGAAGATGACACAGGGTTATTAATGTGTAAATTTCTTAAAGAAAGATTGGCCTTTTTTTATAAGGAAGATTGCAAGTGCTGGGTTAAATAACATAAGGCTAAATTCAGAAGTGATGTAAGTTACATGTTGATGAGGTTCTAAGATGAGATGCCCTCTACCCACTTTATCTTACACCTTGTTACATTTTCTTTAGGTCCTATGATATGTAAATTTGACCAGTTTGCACATCTATTTGGCCTCTAATAGCTAAATTCAACACGTAGGTGAAGAAGTTATATTCTCTCACACGGTGTGTACTATTTAAATATGTCTGTTATTTGGGGGGGGGGGGAACAGAAAATACAAACATCAGAATTAATATGGATGTTTTTCCTGCATCAAGAAGAAATTATATTTTGCTACTTCAATTATATTAAGGTGAGAGGCCTTTCGTGGGTGGGAGCGTCCCAGAATATTTGAGACAAAAGGGCTTTATGATATAAACACCAGCTCTGATATATACACTAGTGCAGATCTTATTGAATAGTTCCCAAAGTACTTGAAAACCAAACAGAACAGAAATACACAAACACTAAAAACCAGTGAATTACAAACAACAATCTAAGGGCTTTCCTGCCAGTTCATAAATCTCAGCTGATAACTGAGCAGTGATAGCAGCAAATTACTTTCCAAAACAAACAGTCTCAATTATCCACTGTTTTCTGGTGCCATTCAGTTACTGAATAATCACTCACATTCATAAAGTCTGTTTTTTCAGGTGTCAGACCTCAGTTATTTGGTTGTCACCTATGAAAGTATCAATAGTATTTGTAATTAGAGCTATATGGGTCACATGATTAAATACGGTGACATGAGGAATTTGGGGTTTTTCAACTTTTTTTTAACAAGACATCAGACAAATAAATGTTTTTGGTAGAGAGAGATGTTTATGGCAGCAATATGTTTAGGCAAACAATTTTAGTAGTTACTAGGTGACTTTTATCTGCTTATATTGGATTGTGTATTAATTAAAAAAAGGTCCCAAAGTACTTTTTTCTGCATAAGAAAATTATTTTTATGTTACAATAATTCTCACCCATTGTTTATAACAGGGGTAGGCAACCTATGGCATGGGTGCCGAAGGTGGCAGGTGAGCTGATTTTCAGTGGCACTCACACTGCCCGGGTCCTGGCCACCAGTCCGGGAGGCTCTGCATTTTAATTTAATTTTAAATGAAGCTTCTTAAACATTTTAAAAACCTTATTTACTTTACATACAACAATAGTTTAGTTATATATTATAGACTTATAGAAAGAGACCTTCTAAAAAGGTTAAAATGTATTACTGGCACGCGAAACCTTAAATTAGAGTGAATAAATGAAGACGGCACATCACTTCTGAAAGGTTGCCGACTCCTGGTTTATAATGATAGATTCTTTTAACAATTTATTTTAAGTGCCTGCCTAGTGTCATCTCAGGCACTGTCTTACTATCAGAGGGTATCAGTCTCGCAGCAAAGGACTAACTTGATGGAGCTTGCTCTCTCTTTTGAGAGATACAAGATATATTACAGGCAGTTTACAGATGTTTACAAGCACAGGTTGTAGGAATCCAGTGGACAGGGATTTCATTTGACAAACATTATTCATACAAACTGGGGTATAGTGCCAGAGTACTGAATTCAGTTGCACCTTTTGCCTTTAGATCAGAAAAATTAGGCTGATCTCTGATTCTGGGTGGGAGATACTCTTCACTTAGCTGTGGCTGAGTGCAGCAAAAACAGGTACAGAATCTGGTCTGGAGCCACAAACGGACTTTTCAGTGGCTAGAAAATCATGAGAACTATAATGCGATCCATAAAGCTTGAGTTAGGTGCCTAAGCTCCCTATACAATGAAGGGAGAGAGACAGGTGCCTTAGAATGTGATCCACAAAAGGGCAACTTCCTGCCTAAGCTAGTCAATAGGAGATGGCAACAACGGGGGGAGGGGGGGATCTAAGCCCCCTGCCACCTCTCATAGAAATAGGAGCTTATCTGTGTTAGCGATCCACCATCAAGAACCCCTCTCTTGGGGGCTTAGATGCCTAAGCTGTTTTTTGTGAGAATGAGTTAGATAGGGTTACGATATCTGAACTTTCAAAAAAGAGGACACTCCATGGTGGGGGGTGGGCAGCCCCGCCCCCATCCACTCCCTCCC